CTCTCTCTCTCTCTCCTAAGGGATTCATTTTTACTTAACATGTGACTTTCGACTCTTTCCAAATATCCCCCGTAACCAAACCCACCCACGCCCGTTTTGTCCATCCTCTTTTCCTCCAATTTATTTTCGTGCTTGTCCTTCGTCGTCTCTAAATTGTTCCCTCTTTCCTTTCACCCCCTTCTTTTCCATAAACAAGTAGACAGACACTCCCAAAACACATTTGCATCTGCCCCCCCCCCCTCACACACACACACAAATTATACTCTCAGACATACGGACGTACACATGCCTGCACATACAAGCAAAAACAGAAAACAGGCAGTCACATAAAAACGAATAATATAAAACGACTACAGAGCGTGTTGTAAAATATGATAAAACGCATAAGCACAAAGATTCAATCGTAAATACACATATGTACATACAAGAACACTTAAGCAAAAGTACAGATATACTCAAAAATAGAACACAAAGAAGCATTAGTACGCACAATGTGTTTTCATTGCACTCTTACTCTTACTTTTACCTTGTCGCTTGTTCCTGGTTTGTTTTGGCACGGCAAGGCCCAGTTTGGGTCTAATGCCTCTTTCAACACTATATGGACATTGAATTTGAAGAGGAGGCAGTAGTGCCTACCTTCGATTCATCGTCCATCTCTGGAAAGACTGAGCCAAAAGGGGTAAGTTTATGACAACTCACACCTCCCTCCCTCTCTTGGAAAAAAAAAAGTTCCTAGAACACTTCAAAGATCGTATGCACGGTCTTCGGTTAAGGTCATCCTATCCTAATCGAGTGCGGTACCAATAAATGAATAAACGATGCGTACGCCCCTTTCATTGCTTGGCCACTTCATTAGCTCAGTTTGGTGTCAGGTTAATCTGCTGAGCAAGCAACTGTTGTGATTTCAATCCCAAGAAGAATTCTTAGACTTGGACTCTCTTGAGCGTTCTCAATGTGAACTATCCCTCAGGCCGAGCCATGCAGGAAATGGACGTTTGAACTCTTGTAGCAACTGTTTACGAACTGTTTTAAATACAGAGTTAAATACAATCAAAATATTCTTGGTCGGTCCTGTAGGTTATTATCAGGTGTTCTAGTGTTGTTTTCTCCTTCTATCATATCAAACGTCTATCGTCATTATCTCTCCTCCTTCTTTTCTTTGTATCCCACTGTCTAGTCTCTAACAACATCTCAGATCTTCGACAGTAATATGACCTATTTGTGTTGCAAATGCCGTAAAACCCTTACTAAAACTTTTGTCGGTCCCAACAGGAGTTCTCTATCAAGGTGTGACGACGTCATCCACGTTAAGTCCCAGTGACGGTTCTCAACTTCCGCACACTGTGAGCCAAACACGCGACGTCGGAGTCCAGGATAGCTCTGGCCTCGTTTCTACAACACACAGCTCACCAGTAGCAGACGAAACTACAACTGCAGCATCAAGAGCAGCAATTGTGGCAACAGCAGTAACACCGACAACAACACCTGTAGCAATAACGACAGGAGCAGAGCTGAATTCACCTCAAGTTTCAGTCCCACCTCCAGCAGAATCAGCCACTAACGAACAAAGCGAGGTAAGAGATTTCAGCCAATCGCAGGACTCCACTGGTGTGGCCACGCCCAGTTCGTCGAGTCAGAGTACACCAAGCGAAGGTTTGAACTCTCAACTGTCTCAACGCAATAGCCTTGACCCTTCATCGAGTAACACTGTCTCTTCAGTCTTCACTTCTCTTAGTCATGCTCCGCCAAACACTCCCGGTGACGAATCGTCGTTCGTTTCTCTGACCACGCCCCCTTCGCATCAGTCGTCTCTCGCTACTTTGGATTTAAGCGATCCTGTCGCCAGCTATACTGCTAGCGCTGTCTCCAGCAAGACGTCTTCCCACAGATCTGATGACGTCATTACATCTGCACACGTCACAGCGACACCTACAAGACAGATGGTTGGTGATTCCATGAGTGGGTCCTCTCCTGCTGTCTCGGAACTACCAGCCTCCGATACAGACATGATATCTGCCTCCATACAACTGCAGCCATCATCATCATCGTCGTTGCTATCATTGTTATCGTCATTATCATCACCATCACCATCGCCAACAGCAACAATGGGTATAATAGCGACATCTGTAGCAATATCAACACTACCACCACCATCACCACCATCACCATCATCAACAACAACAACTATAACTATAACAGAGTCACCAGCAGCAGAAGCATCAATAGCAACAATAACAGATTCGACGCCATCTACAGTCACAGCGCACACGTCACACCTGACAGACGACATCACTGCGTCATCGACCCCTCCAACCAGCTCGCAGTCCGCCTCCTTTGACCACTCCTCGTCCAATATTATCAGCCTCAACCCATCTGGAGAAACATCTCTTTCGCCATCAGACTCAGGACTCATAGCTAGTCACCCGACATCTGTTCCGAGCGCTACAACCAACCTTCTAGACGGTTCAACATTCCTTACATTGGGGGAGAGCGAAAGTCACTCACTGGGCGATTTGTCGTCTCAGAGTACCCCTGTTATTCCAAGCCATCTCGCTGTCCTTTCTTCCCCCGTCTACACACCTCACGACAGTCACATGGCCAGCCTCAAAGCGACGGAGAGGGCAGAAGAGGGCGCTTCTCTACAGCTCACCTCCTACGTGCTTGAGGATAATAGTATTAGCAGCAGTGATATGAGTATGAGTAGCGCACAGGCCTCAAGCTACACACGCATGAGCCAAGACGGAAGCGAAAGTTTGATGAACTCACTCTACTCACAGCCAATTACTTTCACGAACGTGCTTCAGGACATCAGCAGTCCTGGGATGTACTCATCATTGTCTAGCTTCACACACGTGCATTCGGGCGACAGCAGCAGCAACAGCAATGTAATGTACTCAGGGGAATCTTCTGACATGTACGTGCTTTCGTCTGTTTCGATGTCACAGCCAGGTCCGGTAGAAAGTTCTCCTACCATTTGCATGGGTTGCTCGACGATACTCGAGTCTGAACACTCCGAGTACGGATGCACAAGTTGTTTACCATCCGGCATGACGTCAATGGTAGAACAAACTAGCAAAGATGCGGCCCAAACACTCCCGGTCTCGTATGAAACACTCTCTCTGCCGTTGCAGACACACTATGGATCCTCACTTCCATTCACTTTCTCAGCCGAATCGGACCAGGGTACCGTAGCAGGAACCTCGTTCTTCACACCAAGTCTCACAACTATATCGCCTAGCCCTTCGATCCGGATCGACGTCTCCCCAGTCTTTCCACTGAGTGATACCATTTCGTTACACTCTGATTATGTCCAGAATGAAAGTTCTCTCTTTGCTGGCACCACGCAACTTGAACTGATGACGTCAGTCTGGTTAAGATACAGTAGTGTGTTGGAGTCGTTCGTTAGCTCCGGCAGCGCAACGGCATTCATCACTTCTTCTCCCACATCAACCGAGTCGTTGTTTTCAGATTTGATTCAGTCTGACAGCATAGAGACTTCTTCTAGCCCCGACGGACGCGAAGGCTCCAGTTTCTGGTCACTCCACTCATATGTGATAACGCCATCTTCATCCTCATACGTCACAATATCCAGTCCTGACGTCATGCCCACTTCACTGGACCACCTCGCCAGCAGAACAACACTTCCCGTGACGTATACTGTAACCTCGGAGCCAGTAGACGCCACTGTTTCAGCCTCAGAGAGGCCGGGGCCGTCCATTTCACCATCAAGACCGACCACAGTAGTGCCCTCAACGCAGATCAGAAATAACGACACAACCATCATTCCGGAAGAAAGTACTTTCACTTTTTACTTTGACGGAGACTGCCAGAAATTTTCGGCTCAAGCTTCGTCTAGTGGCGTATTTAACAGCGAGTTGAGAAGGCTCATTCTGAACGCTTCGAGGCTGGATGACGTCAGAATTACAGTTAAGGCTGTGAGTTGCAGTCCAAATTTCTTCACTGCAACCATCAAGCACACAGACAAAGCAGAATTACTCAAACGATTGGATCTACTAGTTTCACGTTCCCTGCTCACCTCGAACGTGACATTTTGCAGCGACATTGACCCGGGCCAGTGCACTGTAAGGTTGACCAAGTACGAGTTATACGAAGCCAAAGTGTTTCCACGGTCACCGGAAGATGACGATCAAGCGAGAGCGATCGTTCTATCAGTGGCTGTGTCTGTCTGTGTGTTGCTCCTAGCAGCAGGTGCGCTGGTTTTCGCCAGAGAAATTTATAAGAAAAGAACCTCACAAGACTTGGCAGCCCAGAAGAAAAAAGATAAACGACAACGGTCGGAGAGCGTTGCTCTGCGCAGCTTCCCCACGCAGACTGCTATTTATAGCACGGTAGAGATGACGGAGGATGACCCAGCCTACGACACGCATTCTGAGGCTCATCTGAATCCGGCCTTTTCCGATTCCTTAGATCGCCGTGTCACGAGCCTGATCCAAGCCAAAAGTCAAACCCCGCCCCCAGAATTTGACCCCGCCCCTAACGCCGATGACTCCGCTCCCCCTGGTGTGAGAGGCGGTCCATTCAACCTTCCGCCGTCCCGGGCCTCATACGGCCTAGTGATTGGCTTGCTTGGCGTGAACAAGATGGCGGACAATGAAGCTCACCACTACGCGGTGCCACACAGAGTGGGCCGGCCACAGAATCGAGCGGACTCGGAATCGACAGGAACCGGAGGCTTGTCTTCGAACAAACCGGCGGATGAATCATCTGGTCAACCACTTGACCGGGACAATAGTGATGACGTCACCTTGCCCAGACCACGATACTTGAAGCGTGCAATGACGTCACCAGCCGACTCTGGGTCTAGTGAGAATCTTCTGCCACGTGGGAGTGGACGGGAACAGGCGAGGGCACGGAGTGTAACCGGTATCGAAAACCCGTTGGCGACTAGAACTGGTTCATCTGACAGTGTGCTCATTTGATTTAAGAAATAGAAACAGACCCTTTCATTATGATATTATAATTACTACTCATAGGCATATAGGAGGTTCAATTCCCGAATGGAAAAAAAAATCTTTATCGAGTATCTGATCGGTCTTTTTGCTGGGGTGTTGTATCCCACTCAGCCTTGGTTGGCCCTCAAAGGCAGGATCGGAAGTCCACCTCATAAAAGATCTAAATCTGTCCTCAGAGAAAGTTGCATTTGAAAATAGCAAAAGTTGCAAAAAGTTGCAAGAAAAATTAGCA